AGGTTCTCGCTGCTATGCGGAAGGATTGAAAATTTGCCAAAAATCCCTGTTGATTGACTACTGATGACGTGCGAGACGAGCCCCAACGTTTCGAGTTGACCACTAGAAACGTCTTCCTCGTTACAGCTATGGAGTCAGTCAACCTAATGCGATCAACAGCAGAGACTCACGGCGAAATTTCCAATAACATTCCTTAAAACTCAAAAAAGTACGTTCGCTTCACGACAACCGAGACCACGCTTTTCGAAAATTGACGAGACTGTAGATCGAAGCTTTGTTGAAAATTCTTGTCACATCCAACGTGCAACGATGATCAGCCTTCTTCCAAAGGATGTCTGCTCTCCTTGCTCAGCATCATCTTGTTGACAAGAAAATACGATTCACCGTAGGACCTCGAAATCGACCTCACTGCCTTTTTCAGCTTGCAGCTGCCAGCCTTTTGGGAGTTGAGCGGTTATCTGCGGTTAGTCGTTGGCGACAAGTCATTGATAATGATGATGCATATATAGATGAGAGATAAAGCATGTGCTTGAAATAGGTGGGCTCAAAAAGGTGCAAAATACGCTTGAACTTCCGAGACAACCCTATATATAATGTCATACTTCTTCGGAAACCAGTGATGTGACATTAACGAAAAATTCTTCGAGCTTTCTTCTTCTTGTAATTTCGGAATGGTACACTGTACACTTTGTTATGTTCAGGCTCTTTCGCTGATTTCTCTAGCGTGAGAAACACTCAGCTTCATTCATCTAGCGACGTTATTTTGAGAAGTCACAAGACATAGACCCACGAGATCAACCGTAGTTCTGTGTCTTGTGATTCTCGAAGTTTGTGTAGAGATGTGGTCCGTAGAACTTTCCGGACTTCATCACATAAAAAACAACAATCGACAGCCTAGGCTCTTACTTCAAATCCTGTCGCTTACTCTCTTCATTTAGCGTACGTTGAGACACTCTAGGCACTGTCGAAGCGCCACTAAGCTGAAAATAGTCGCTCTGGAAAGCTTAGGAGGAGCTCGACGCTACCTATTCGATCAGTATAGATGAGACGAGGTTCTGCTCATACATTAACCCATTCGTGACAATGTCAGCCACCGGTGGCTGACAAAGCTCTCACTCGGGACAATGGCATTACTGTGGCTGCAGGGCTTGAAATGGAATTTGGAAAGTTTTCTTCCATGAAAAGAATCTTCATACCCTCGCTCATCTACGCCAGCCCTGGGCAGAGGAAATCTCCCTCCACTCAAATTTTATTGAAGAAAAATCTCCTGACTCTGCTGCTATTGCGCAATCCTGCGCGGTCGCGAATGGGTTAACTATAATGTTGTGACGAAGTTATTCGGGGCAGCAGC